TGTTGTTCCCGGGATCTGCTGGAGCCACTCGCCTAGCTTGGGAGTCACCGCACCTAGTGCTCTGATTACCACGGGGACCACCGTTACCTTCACTCTCCACATCCTCTCGAGCTCTTCTCTGAGCCCTTGGTATTTCTCCAGCTTCTCGTGTTCCTTCTTCCTGATATTGCTGTCATTCGGAACCGCTACATCGATCACTACGGCCGTCTTCTTCTGTTTGTCTACCACCACTATGTCCGGTTGGTTAGCCACCACCATTTTGTCCGTCTGTATCTGGAAGTCCCACAGGATCTTAGCTCGGTCATTCTCCACCACCCTTGGGGGCATCTCCCATTTTGACCTCGGGACTTCTAGGTTATACTCGGCACAGATGTTCCTGTACACTATGCCGGCCACTTGGTTATGGCGTTCCATGTATGCCTTGCCTGCTATATATATATATATATATATATATATATATATATATATATATATATATATTGTTATATATTGTTATATATATAACAACTACCTTCATTCTTCATGCCGTAGCTCCAACTAGGTGCTGCAGCTGTTCCAGGTTTGTCAGCTGCACAGCCATGATGATCCACCACATCCCAAAGGTGCTCTGTTGGATTGAGATCTGGTGATTTGGAGGTCATTTGACTGCAGTAGACTTATTTTCATGTTCAAGAAACCTGTTTGTGATGTTTTGAGCTTTGTGGTGTGCTATCGTGCTGGAAGCAACCATCACTGTGGTCATAAAAGGGACCGATATAGTCAGCAACAATACCCAGCTAGACTGTGGCGGCTGGATATCGTCTCTTTTTCAGAATGTTCTCTGTAAACCTTAAAGATGGTTGTGAGGGAAAATCCCAGTAGATCAGCAGTTTCAGAAATACTCCCAGCCCATCTCACAACAACAACCGTGCAGCATTCATAAAATTGCCTTTCTCTCCCATATGAAAGTTTGAACTTCAGCTATTTTTGACCTTCAGCTGATTTGACCATATGTACATGCCTAAATGCATTGACTTACTGCCACGCGATTGGCTGATGAGATAATTACATTAATAAGCAGCTGAACAGGTGAATCTGAGAAAGCAGCCAGTGAGTGCATGTGGCTTCTTTGTATTGTTTAGAATGATCTCAGCTCAGTCTGCAGCACATGCATAAGAGCAGCATCACAGCCGAGCAGATGGTGGTACACAGTCAAGAATGTGTCTTTGCACAGTGTTGCCAACTAGGTCAGAAATACACATTGCTGAAAAGCTCATAAACAATTGCTTTTTCTGGTTTTAAATGATAAATATTGCTTTGAAAATTAAATGCCAAATTCTATATCATGCTTGAGCTGATCACCTTACTAAAAAACAAGGGTTCATGTCAACCTCTAACTTAAACAACATTGATTACATTACTGTCTTCATTTGAAATGTACTCTACCTGTACGGTTGTATGTAAAAGAAAGCACCTTAAAGTTTAAAGCAGACTGAATCTGAAAGCTTTCTTGTCTTCGTGTGTCACTAGTTTCCTCCCTTTCCTAACAGTGGGGTTATGCCGGGAGACCAAAAAGTCATTAATATTACTGTTCCAGTGTGCCGCTGTTTATTTTGAGACTGTGGCTCAAGGGACTGATACGCTGCTGCACACATGCATCTGTACACACAGGTGTTTTACTGGGACACAGTATACAGCTCTTGGAGGTGGTTTTCAAAATGCTGAATCGATATAACAGTGATGTGCTCTGAAGAGACTTTGCTGGTGCTTCATAAATATGCTTACAGCCACAACTATAAGCACGTACTGGGGAGGTGTCTTCCACAACGAATGGCTGGTTTGGAAAACGGGTCATTGAGCTTACCTTAGCACTTGTTTGGGTTGTTGTTGCTTGATGGCCACATAAACCATCCGCTGCTGTTATGACTTCTTATTTGTGATATGTATGCAAGCTTTTGAGGAAATGGTTGTCTGCTTCATTGGGTTTCTATCAATTAAAACTCAGGAATGTGATGTGCATAAGTGATAAAGCATCATGTGTTTCACTGCTTTTGAAAACTGCTAAATGAAGAACCTGATGATCATATACATATACTGTACTTTGTTCATCAGTTTATTGCTGTTCTTTTCTATTGAGTCTATTAGACTTGTTTATGTCACCCACAAATATGAATGTGCTTTTAGTGAGACCACAACAATTAAAATGAGTAACTTTGCAAAGGTCACCATTCATCATGCAGTTCCTGCATGGGCCGATAAAAACACTAACTTTTCTTCTGCTTCTATTCCATTTGTCAGGTAATTTATAGATTTAGTAATGGCTATGCATTTGTACGGCAATTTATTACCCCTGGACTGGGCCACAGTGTAATGTAAATCTAAATGGTATTTCTACTGTCAGCCAGATCCAAGATATTCACATTAAGAAAGGGCTGAGTTATTTACAGTTTCAATTCAAAGTTTTACCATTGGTTGGTCCCAGCAGTGCTGTTAGCTGTGCCCCATGCAGGAGGCATAAAAATGTGGGGCTATGGCTTCATACTCCTAATACAGCAGGTGACTCTATGAGCATATCAGTGAATCTGGAGTGACTTTTGATATTACTGGTTTTTCTGTTTATTTGTGTGCTTGCAGACTGGCCAACATGATGACGAATAAATGCATGCAGGGAAACAGAGATTATTCCCACCAATATTAGTGTTAGATGAGCCCACACCATCATTTTTCTCTGAATGAACTGATCTCTTTGTTGACAGAAAAGCCCTACTCATGCTTTCCATGTATTCATTTAGCATGAAAGTGGAACAAAGACGAGATGGATAAAAGATAATAAGTAGGTTGTAGTCACCGCACTGCAATGGGAAAACAGCTATTTTCTTCGAGGAGTGCAAAGGCGCGAGTATGCTCGTGCATGAACGTGCACTGGTGACATTCTTACCTGGACCGAACCAGAGAGAGTTTTGAATTCGCCAGCAGCCTGGCTGCACTTGCTCCACTGCTGCCTGGAAAACTGCAGAGCTGCTTCTGGTCCACATCTGGTCCACATCTGGTCCATGTGGGATGGTTGGACATTCACCAAGCCAAGCACAACCAGAGCCACTGATAACATGGCAGTGCTTATAGCTGACAGCAGCAGTCTTAGCATATGTCAATGATGATGCAGGTGTGTATATTTATAGTAGTTATAGGGTACATTAATATGCAGACTGCACTGACCTGTATTACACAGATGTACAAATCAATATATTTTGATAAATAAAATTTGCTTCTGAGGACTTCAGGTGGGCTATTTATCTTTTTGTTTCCCAACTTATTGCAAACATGAAATCTGATTTAAGCTTGCACGTAACATTTTTGAGATACACATCATTGATGTTTGACGTGAATGATGTGTATCTCAATATAATGTATCAACACTATGGCTAGAAGTTTCCAAAAATTATTTTAATGTGTTTATTCTGGACAAAAACAAGAGAAGACGATCTCAGGATCTCTCCAAAGCATATTTCTGTCAATTTAGCTCAAAATAAATCCACAAACATGTTTGAGGCACTTGCTTTTGCGCATGCACTGCACACCCGTCTCTCTTTGCAAGAACAAACAGTAGCGGGTCATCATCCTCTGATTCAATTTTTCCTGGTGTTGGTTTTCCAATACTTTTATACCTTGGTGACATCACTCAGATTTGGTGGGAAAATGTCAAGATGAGAATGTAAAAAGTGCAATTTCAGTGACATTCTGGCACTCATTAGTTGATGTGCTTTCAGCATGTTATCCACAAGCTCAGCAAGATTCTCTGCTCTGATATTGCCAAGACAATTCTGTGCACAAATGTTTCCCATTGCTGCTGATTCAGATGGCTTTAGCATTAGTTCACAGATTTCAGGACCAACAAAAACACCTTCTTTCACTTTGGCTGCATTTTGTGGACAGTAAACTTATTTCTTAAAGGCTAAAATGCATCACTGTTTCTGCCCAGTCATTCTAGCCGTCCAATTCTGGGAAAATCATAACTTTTAAAAAAAATGGGATGAAAGAGATGAAAATGGTTTGTTAACGCACAGGTGAAAGTATACCAGCAGCAAAATGCTTGTGACCAGTTTGATCTTTTAGGTACCGCTAACTACATTTTTTCATTTGCCTATCTTTTAACATATTGTAATCTTGTTGACTTGTTGTTGTCTAAATAAATCACAAAAATGAGAATTGTACACAAACCTTTGACTTTGTACAAAGTGATTTTAATTGCCTAGCTGCACCTTAATAAAAAGTCTAAAGCCATGTCAGCAGGTCTGTAAGCCTTCAGTTTTTGAACACCAACAGCGACATGCTAATGCGGTTATTATGACAAACCATTTACCGTTTTTTTTTTTATCATCTTAGTTTAGCTTGCTACCAATGCTAGTCAATAAGCACTAAATGGCCGAAAGTATTCTCTATTTAAACCTACTTAAAGTGAAGTGCTTCACATTATAAATAAGGTTCAACAACTCAAATTGTACAAATGGATCAAACTAAAATAAAAGCAAGCCTCCACATGTAGGTCTGTGGTCAGGTCAGTTCACTGTTATAGAGAGGCATCTGGCTATGAAGACCTTTAAAAGGCATCAGCAAAATGGCAATGCATCTTGCCAATTGCAACTTCAAGAGATTGAGGCACTAAACGTAGGAGAGATAAAATATAAAACTGGGACAAGATCAGACCTAGCAGGCCAACATGTGTAGGTGGGTGACACACTGAATAAGATAAAAGAGATTTGAGGTTTGGTCTGTGGACACTCAACTCTGTCTGAGTGCCTTAAGCTTCCCATCCAGCAATGCAGAGGTCTGTACGATAAGCTTATAGGTTAATATAAATCACAACACCCCCCCCCCCCCCCCCCCCGACAAAATATATTAAAACTTCCATATCCTTCTAATGATGATTGACATCTTGCAAAAATACTGGTGCTGTTTGGTTTGTGTCGAACTTGCAGCTTCTGTGAGTTTAATCAATCTGGAACTGTTTTGCTTGTTTGCAGGTTGGAGTAGCTGTGATGGATGACCAGTGTGTGTCTCATGGCAGTCCTCATCGCAGCGGAGGTCATGTCAGTACTGAGGGTCAAAAGTTGAATGTCATCAGGTGTGGGTGGCTCCGGAAGCAAGGAGGTTTTGTCAAAACGTGGCACAGTCGCTGGTTTGTGCTGAAAGGGGATCAGCTCTACTATTACAAAGATGAGGAGGAGACTAAAGCTCTGGTAAGACTGTGAATGTACTAGAAGATGAACTAACATAAAAATTGTGGCATGCACCCACACATATGCAGATGATAGTTCTCACTGTATGATGATTGAGTTTTTTTGGGATCAGACAGCTCTTTGGCTTATGACCAGACTGTATGTAAAAGATGGGTGTAGCATCTGTGAAGTTTGTTTTATGGGCTCTGAAACCTTAACCTATGCACCTAGGGTCATAAGTCATTAGCTACTGTAAGCATGGTTTGTTAGCAAGGTGCGTTCCTACAGTCATATGAAAAATGTGAGTTTTTCACAAGACTCTATGCAGTCCTGTGAAAAACTAAAAAGTAATACTTTTCTATATGACTATCAGTCTCCCACATCATTGTGGAGGAATTTTCGCCCACTCTTATTTACTCTAATTTACAGCATCGCTTCAGTTCTTTGAAGTTTGCAGACATTTGTTTATACACAACACTCTTATGGTTCCACCACAGCATTTCAATCAGGTTGAGCTCTGGACTTTGACTGTGTCATTGCAGCACTTTAATTCTTTTATTTTTCAGCCATTCTATTGCAGACTTGATGCTGTGCTTGCATGTGCTCGATCCAGTTTTAGCAAAGCTTTAGCTATCAGACAGATGGCCTCACATGTGACTCTGGTACACAGAGGATGGTCAATTCAGTGACTGCAAGGTACCCAGGTCCTGTGGCTGCATGCCCAAATCATCACCAATCTACCGCCACGCTTGATAGTTAGTTGAGGTGTTTGTGCTAATATGCTGTTTGGTTTTCACTAAACGTGGCACTGAGTTATATGACCAGACATCTTTGGTTTGTTCCGTCCACAGAGGTTGTTGCAGAGGTTTTGTGATTTGTTCAGATCCAACTTTGCAAACATAAGCTACAGTATACTCCCATGTTCTTTTTACAGAAGAAAAAGCTTTCTCTTAGCAGCACTTCCAAACAAGGCCTACTTGGTCAGTTTTCTTCTAATTGTACTATTATGGTGTTTAACATTTAACACACTAACTGAGGCCTATAGTCTGAGATGTAGCTATTGGGTTTTCTCTCAGCTTTGCAAGGGTTTGACCTTGGAGTGAATGTTCAGGGACAATCCACATCCAAGATTGGCAGCTGTCTTGAATGTTTTCTACTTGTGATGAGTCTTTGGATGGACTTTAAATTATTTGGAAATGGTCGTATAGTCCTTCCCAGATTGATGGGCAGCAACAGTTGTTTCTCTAAGATTACTGCCAATGCCTTTTCTCCTTGCCACAACTTAAAGCTCCAGACCAGCAAACTGTCAAACATTCTGTTTTATAGCAGTGGTTACATTTCATGCTCAAAAGATCAAGTGCATTTGATTAGCAGCACCTGGCTGTTACTTACCTTCTTGACACCAATAGAAGCAGTTTTGTTTTTTGTTTAACAGGACTGCATAAAGTCTTGTGAAAAAGGAAGCGTATGGGTGTTTCACACAGATGGATACATGCTGATAGTTCCTAAGTAAGATACAAATACAATAAAAGCATTTACTCAAAGCAGCTTGCAACTGCCACTAATGATAATTCTAAGCCTCGGTGAAATTGAAGCCAACCCTCTAGAGCCGTCACAAGTGGTGATATTACTTTTCTTACTCAATCTAATGGGCCAGCCTCAATATAAAATGATGGCTGGCATACAGTGCGTCGCTATGAAGTCAGCCATTCAACAGTGGGAAATGTGCTGGAGATGTTTTGCTCACTTTAACATTACGATCAGATATGAATCTAAATATGTACTCTAAGCCCTGCTGTGGTGAAGTGTCTGTTTGTGCTTTCTGTATTTGCTGTATTTACTCACAGCACCACCATATTTCTTGTAGATACATGCTACAGTATAGCCAGGTGAGATGATAACATCGAGCTATGGTTCAAATGAGGTTGTTTTGACTCTCAAACCAAACTGTTTTCAGTTTGTCTTTATGGAAACACACACACACACACACACACACACACACACACACACACACACACACACACACACACACACACACACACACACACACACACACACACACAAATGGCTATCCTGAAATGAGAAGAGACAATGAGTAACACGAGTTTTATGGCTATCTCTAACATTACTGTAACAAGGAACTCCCTCTCACTTAGCATGTGCAGACTGGAAAAAGAAGCTGCCAAAATACAGTGAAAGAGAGCGAACATTGATTCCACAAGTTGAGTTCATTAAGAAACTTGTTTAATTTCTTGAATTTGATGAAAGAGTCAATAGTCTTTTCTTGGTTGTCAAATACAATGATGCTGGATAGCAACTTGTTATTAAATACTAGTTCATAAATACTCTAAGAGTGTGTTTTATGAGTAGCTTGTCACGTCATATTCCTATCATGCCTTTAATCTTTATATCAGTTAGCAGATGTTTCGTGTTTTGTTTTTTTCCTCTTTGCAGTTATTTTACACCAGAGCTTACTCCTAATTGGCAAATACACAAAAGACCACATCCTTTTGTAATATTTATTCCTACCAAACAATATCTCCTTTTTTTCCTGTGGAAACTTGATCACTTGTGCACAATTGAAATCTTTATTCTGCTCATCTACCCACACTTCTTTGCCTGGCCAATTTCCCAGGAAACTGAGCCTCAGCCAAACCCAAGAAACAGCAGCAGCAGAAGTCTCTAAAGGTTAAAGCTGCAGACCTGAAGGTGGGCCACAGGCCAGATACAGGGGGAGGAGAGATTTTCTTTCTTTTTTTCTGGGAAGGCCAGGTTTTGAAGCTGTGTCAAAAAAAAAGAGAGAAAACAGTTTTCCTGAAACAACTTGATAATTATATTTATCATCATGTTCTCAGAGAACTTATTTGTAATGTCCCTACAACTCCATCTACCTGTGGAATACTCTTCTTTGGTTAGCAACTTTCCATTCTTGCCCTACTTCTAAAGCTGTAATAAATTTCAGCTACTTTTTTTTTTTGCAGAGAATGGGAAATTTCTAGTGAAACTAGGTCAGGTACAGAGGAGTGTGCTCAAAGTCCTCAAATCTCCATGACCTCCAAAGCAGAGAAGCATGTAAGAGCACAAACAGAACACTCCAAAAAGACAGCGTACCGAACAGAATACAAGATAACCAGTGTAGCATTTCCAACATCCCAAAAAGGAGGAATACCAGCGGGACAGAGAGGAGACAGAAAATTGTCAGAAACAGGTTTGGTTTTGCTTTTTGTGCCTCGAACGCTGATGTTTAAGATCAGGGCAAAAACACAAACACACAAGGTGCACTAAGATCCTCCACTTTACTTAGACTATATGTGGTGGAGTAATATCTACCCACGCTAACCTATTAGCCACATCCAACAGAGACGCAACTGATTAATTCTCTGACATGCTGTGATCTCTCCATTACCCATCACATTAGCCTAATTGCTGCTACCTCAGAGGACACATGAACATGTGCTACTTTCTGTTGGCTAACAATTTGTTGAACGATTAGACAGGAAAATATTACATACAAATTACATATTTAACTAGCTTCTCGCACAAACTGAATCTACATTTTATGAAAACAAAAAGCATTCATTATGCTATTCACATATAAATATAAAGTCTCACAATAAATGAATTTAAAGTACACACAGTTTAAAAAAAAGGCGGGGGGACAAGTTTGGAAAATAGCAGCATTTAGACACAATGGACTGACTGCTTTATCTTTACTTACAGTGGACACAATGCGCTAGCACTGCACTCTTAAGCAGTAAATATTAGTTGCTAATATTATGAAGAATTATGGGGAGGTTTTAACACGGAGACTTACCAGAAAAGTTGGCAAGTGATTGCTTGTAATTATGTAACTAATCACAGTATGACTTTTCTGTCTATCTTAGGCAGAGTGCTAGGTTTCAGTGTCTATTTTTGATACTGAAAGCCTAACAGTATTTATGATTAGTGCCTCTAATCCTGTTGTTACTCTAACCAAACAGCTCGAGTTGTCATATCAGTCCTTAATCCTGCAAGAACATTGGGGGGGTTTGGCTCTTGGGACCACTAGAGTCAAGTTAGAACCATAATGCCACCAGTTAAACTAGCATTACCTGACTGGTTGTAAGTCGTAGCTGGCTGTTGCTGGCAGTAACCATGAAAATGACTGCTAAACTCCTAGTCACACTGTCGAGCGGTCAGTGACGCTGGGGGGAAAAAAATGTGTAATACCCAACCGGTTGGCAAGCGGTTGCTGGAGGTTGCTTACTGTTGCTAGGTGAAACTGGTAGCAAAGAGGTAAACTATGCTGCACCAAAAACCTCCTTGAGATGGCTTTGGCGGCTAGCAGATTGCCATGGTAACCCTTACTTTGCTGACTTGTCTCCAAATACTCACTAGCTACTCACTAAGTGGTAGTGAAACTGTGAGAACAATTTGCCTTCAAAGTAAAAATCTGTACTCTTTGAAACAGGTTGGTTTCAGTGGTAAAGCACAACTTTTACTTTGGAAGTGAAGATTCCCCGATTCGGGTTTAAGTCGCTCTCTTCATAGCTTCTCTGCTGCTCTGCAAGCACCTGTCTTTGCAGCCAACTCGGTGTCCGCCATGCAACCTGTTTTTGCAGATCTCGATGGAGTAGTTGGGTCTTTTGAGATTCAATTCTGAAAGTCAAAGCTTAAATAGCTAAACTTGGAATAATCTTTTCAATTATGAAGTCAGAAAGCTGTAGAAAAAACATCAAGTAATAAATAAAAAAAACAAAAAAATGGGATTTCCTCAGAATGGCTGTAACATGTCGTCATGTGTGATGCACTAGGAGTTTATACCTGACATACCATTGTTTTGTTTTCATGCAGTGAACATTTTATAACATTTGTTTGATTTCCAATACTGCAACTCATAAGAATTCTGATGTTTTTAGATACTGTAACATTATCTGAAAAATTACTGCTGATGTAGGCAAACATGTTGATGCTATACAGTTAGGCCGAACCTCTCTGAGTAACAGGAGGAATCCGAAGAATGGGCGTCAGATGGAGGTGAA